ACGGAAACCAAAGTTCTCCGAAATGACAGGGAAAACTAAACTGTGTGCACAAACAAGATGCTTGTGCTTGTGCTGAGCGCCTGCTCTCCTGCTGGAGCCTGGAACGTTCCATACGAGGTAGAGGGAGCCGACCTGACACACCTCCAGGGAAACCAGGGGCCCTGAGTCGCTAGAGAGTCTCCTGCACAGAAACCTCACACAAGACATTTTTTTAAAAAAACCTTCTTTTAGATGATTAAATGTATTCATTTCTTTGAAACTGTCAAGGAGAGATGCTTGTAAATGTTACTCCACAGTCAAAGTAAAGGGCGCTCACCAGTTCACCCCGTCTGCCTCCACCCAGGCAAAGCGGTACTCGTTGACTCGGAGCATCAGCTGCAGACACCCGGCCACACACTGCACATACTGAGAGCTCTGTGCGGGGAGAAGCACAGCGTTTAAAACCGGAAAGCACTTCAAGTCACAAGGTCATGCAGATACCAAATTCTGGAGTGGTTTTTCCCAGAGTTTCTTATCATCCGAAAAGTCCAGAAGTCTCAAATATTTCTTCAAAGTCAATCCTTGTTGCTCTTCTCTCTTCCTCCTGGAAACGGAGCTGGCTTCTTTTGCCAAATTAAGCCTACACGGTTCAAGCCCACTGAACACATCCAGTCAGGGAAATCAAGGAACAAAGTAATTATGCCTTCGATATGGTTTGATAAACAGCTTATTATCTTGCAATGTTTCACTTAGCCCTGAATAGAGGCATGATACAGAGAATACTGCTCTTCATAATTACACAAGTATCAAAGAACAACAATAAAATGAAAGAGATAAAAGTGTATGCTTTGAGCCAGGCCCATATCTGAATGACCTTGAGCAAGTTTCCGTACCTTTTCAATGCTCAATTTCTTCATCCTTAATGAGGATCATGCCCCCAAGCACCCTGAAAGGGTCCTCTTAGGATTAAGTAAAGTAATTCATTTAGCACAGAGCCAGACATGTCACAGAAACTCAATAAATAAGAACTTAAAAAAAAAAAACTATACAGCATATAAGAAGTCTACTTAAACACCTGAAAAAGACTGATTTGGTTTTTTTTGTTTTTTTTTTTTTTCTTTTTCTTTTTTTTTTTCTGTACGCGGGCCTCTCACTGTTGTGGCCTCTCCCGTTGCGGAGCACAGGCTCCGGACGCGCAGGCCCAGCGGCCATGGCTCACGGGCCCAGTCGCTCCGCGGCATGTGGGATCTTCCCGGACCGGGGCACGAACCCCTGTCCCCTGCATCGGCAGGTGGACTCTCAACCACTGCGCCACCAGGGAAGCCCGACTGATTTGTTTTTAAACTCTCAGCTCAACAGGCACCATGTTAGAGAGATTGAGGTCAAAGCTGAAGCTTGAAATAAACAGAACAAACATCCCCAAGAAGCTGCGCACGATCCCCCATGTCAGGAGAGCTGGTAGTAACACCTGGCCTGGGCGCCTCCCTAAACATTTACCATGAGCCTCACATCTGTAAGAAATGGAGGGACAAGGGGAAGTTTCAGACCCCAGCCTTAAAGGACATGCTAACAAAAAGGAAAAAGAAAGAAAGGAGTGGGATAGGGAGGGTGGGAGGGAGGGAGACAAAGAGGGAAGAGATATGGGAACATATATATATGTATAACTGACTCACTCTGTTATAAAGCAGAAACTAACACACCATTGTAAAGCAATTATACCCCAATAAAGATGTTAAAAAAAAAAAAAAAGAAAGAAAGAAAGAAAGGAGAGGATCGTGGATGTCACATAAATTCACAAAACCTAATATACATGATGCCACTTCAGCTCTATGTTTCAACTTAAACTAAGTTTGTTAAAACCTAACACTTCAAAGAATTCCAGGCACTCAAATACAAAAACACAATGATATATTTGGAGGAATAATCAAAAGTTATCATGAAAAGGTTATCTTAGATTTTACCTAGAAAGTAGTGAACACAGTTGCCCAAAAGCACACTATATCCACTAACTTAATTTGCCTGAAAACTCAAAACATTTGCAGAAATTAATGACAAAAAAAAAAAAAAAAGTGAATTTTCAGCTCGAAAACAATCTTCCATAATGGGAAAAATATATATATGTATTTTTCCAATTAGGTCAGCAGCTAAGTAACCCTTTGTGAAAAGGAGAATTCCATCTTCCTTGTTTAGAAAGAGAGCCTAAGCAAGGTTTCTACAATAATGAATAAAAGGCAGCCTAGGGCACTCTCTCCTCTTCCACTTACCATCGATTTCCTCTCAACAGGAGAATTTCTTGGTTCACTTTCTCTTGTCTGTGTCCATTTACCCTACTATGTTGAAATACATGACATTTAAAAAATGGATTCTTCGTTGCTAGTTTCAGCTTCAGGACTCACACATAAATAAGCATACAAAAGATGCTGCTTCAGCTCTATTTACAATAGCCAGGACATGGAAGCAACCTAAGTGTCCGTCGACACATGAATGGATAAAGAAGATGTGGCACATATATACAATGGAATATTACTCAGCCATAAAAAGAAACGAAATTGAGTTATTTGTAGTGAGGTGGATGGACCTGGAGTCTGTCATACAGAGTGAAGTAAGTCAGAAACAGAAAAACAAATACTGAATGCTAACACATATATATATATATGGAATCTTAAGGAAAAAAAAAAGGTTCTCAAGAACTTAGGGGCAGGACAGGAATGAAGAAGCAGACGTAGAGAATGGACTTGAGGACACGGGGAGGGGGAAGGGTAAGCTGGGACGAAGTGAGAGAGTGGCATGGACTTATATACACTACCAAACGTAAAATAGATAGCTAGTGGGAAGCAGCCGCATAGCACAGGGAGATCAGCTTGATGCTTTGTGACTGCCTGGAGGGGTGGGAGGGAGGGAGACGCAAGAGGGAGGCTCAAGAGGGAGGGGATATGCGGACATGTGTATGCATATGGCTGATTCGCTTTGTTGTGCAACAGAAACTAACACGGTATTGTGAAGCAATTATACTCCAATAAAGATCTATTAAAAATTTTTTAAAAGATGCTGCTTCTAAAACCTCACTCTCTCCTGTGACACACCATGAGGCAGTCCAATACCAGTCCAGAAATTATTTTCAAAGTACACAGCGAAGGCAACACTGATAAATGACTGAGGTACTTGCCTTCAATTAAAGTAAACTGTATCACTGCCTTACCTTTCTCTCACGTTGTCCTGTTAGTCTCATGTACAAAGTTATTCACTGATTTTTTTAGAAGAAAATAGTCAGCCTTCAATCAACCCAGCGAGCCACCGACTCTTCCCCCACACAGAGGTCATTCAAACACTGCTGGAGAAGACGGCACAGCCACGCAGAGCCATCAGGAAGTTCTGCTCTCGCTGCCACCCCCAGAGCCACGCTCACACCTCCACCTCTACCCTCCTGTCCCGCTCTCTTCCCTCACTTCAGCACTGAGAGAAAAAACGGAGACCATCAGCTAGCGAGTCACTGAGCTGCCAACGTCGCACCCCCAACTGAACTTCCCTGACGGCCCTTCTCACCTCCCTCTCGCCGAGCAGAGGCAAACAGCTCTTCCTGTCCAGGATCCACGGCCCCAGCAAGGCCTGTGCCCCACTCCTCCCACACAGCATTGCATCCGTCTGACCCCTCCCTGTAGCTCCGATCTGTTTGACAGGTTTCCTCTCCTCAGCCCCTAAATATACTCAATCTTTCCCGTCTTAAAATTATCCCTAAACCTTGTACCAATCTCAGCATCTTTCTTCCTCCCAACGCATGAAGTTTTCTTGAGAGAATTATCACCAGGTTCTTACCTCTCTGATACCTTAGCACTCCACCAACATGGCAAATGCCAGGAGCAGCAGTGACCTTAAAGTGCCACAGGTCCAACACTTACTCTCCCCCAGAGAACCAGACCTCGACCTCCAGCTGCTTCTGGGAAAGCTCTCGCCCCTCCTTTCTCCAGCTGAACTGACTCACAGCTCCAACGTTAACTCCACTACCATGAAAGAAAGGCAGTAATGTAGCATAACAGTTACGAACAAAGGCTCTGGAACCAGCCTGCCACGCTCAGCCACTTCCAAGCCGTGTGCCCTTGAATGAGCTTCCCACCTATAAAATGGGGATAACAGGGCACATCCCATGGGGTGTGGGGATAATCTCATTAGCTAATACATGACAGGCCGGGCTGAGAACCAGCTACAATGTGTACTCTCAAACACACAAACCTCCCTGGTAGAGAAAAACTAACTTTACTTCTCAGCACATTCAGAGAACATCATTAGATAAATTTTCCAATATTGCTGAAAATGCAAATTCTCCTACATTATGGTGGAATAATCACATAAGGAAAACAGCAACTGACAGAATTCACCTTCCTGATGAAGAGGGTCTCCCAGATCCATATTCTGCAGAATTACAAAGTAATTCAGGAAGTGAGGAATTACAAAGCAAGTAGGCAACGAAAGATAAACATAAAAACTGCAGCCACATTGAACCAAAGTAAAACTCATGCTATAACAATGTTTACAGACCATTTTTCAATATCTATCTCCATAATGCTGGGATTTAAGTACAAACTAAATGAGAAAAAGTAAAGATAATATTCCTCTAAATTTTGGAGTCAAGGGCGCTTAAAAACAAAAAGGGATGACATCTGCAGTGCAGAGAAGAGCACCTGTCTCAGATGCAGTGGAAACACACGAGTGTCCAGTGGTATCAGCGAAGCACAAAGCTGAGTTTGTAGAACACACCATCGACCAAAATAAACCCCAGAAGCCAGTTTTACATGAAATCCTCCAGGACTGGTGATTAACCAATCCCAAAAGTATTCAATGTGTCATGACTATTAAATGAATCTTTTCTCATAGAAGTTAAAAGTGAGTGTGCACATCTTATGTGTGGAACATCTGGAACTCTCCTACTTTGCTGACGACGTGTAAGCTGGTTTAGAAAAGTGACTGGACTGCTGGACCTAAATTCACATGTAACCTGTACCCCAGCAACTCCATTCTAGAAGTGCTCCAGGCGTAAGTGGTTACATCTACCAAAGGCCATGTACAAGGATGTTCATAACAAGATATTCACAAGAGTCAAGAACCAGAACTAACTCAAATATCCGTCAATAAGAGTATGGATAATATTCATTTAATAGATTACTACACGGCAATAAAGAGATGAACTACTGCCAAGTGCAACGTGAGTGACTCTCACTGACACAATACTGCACAAGAATTCGGACACACAAGAGTTCACACTGTGTATGATTCCACTTTTATGGAGTTCAAGGTCAGGCAAAACTAACGCATAATAACGAAAACCTTTGTGGGAGCCGAGGCGAAGGAAAGTATTGAGTAGGACACATGATGTTTAAATGCATTCAGCTGAACATTTAAAAATCTGTCTATTTTACTCTATGTAAGCTGTAGGGGAACAA